GAGAGGGAGAGAGAGATAGAAACATCAGTGATGAGAAAGAATCATTGATTGGCTGTCTCCTGCACACCCCACACTGGGGATTGAGCCCGCAACCTGGACATGTGCCTTGACTGGGAATTGAACCGTGACCTCCTGGTTCATAGGTTGATACTTAACCACTGAGTCATGCTGGTCGGGTCACACATAATTATTTTGCTTTAGTATATAGTTTTTACAATTTACAGCTTGTGTTAGAAATTAATTAAATGACAAATGTAAACTGTGGGAGGATTTCCATGCTGTTGAGTAGAAACCAACATACCTCCCATTTAAAAAACATTTATGAAAGTTTGAGTCCAAGTCAGTCAGCGTTTCCTTCCTATATCAGATTTTACACAAAAGACACATTGCTATAATATAACATCTTCTAAAGTCCTTAATGATGCAGACACCACACACTGGTGGTATAAGGCCTTCTTTCTGGTGTGGATCTTATTTGATTTTTAAAATATTTGGTCACCATTTTACAGTAATGATAAGAAGACTTCTTGATTTCAAGATTTCATGGACTTGAATACTGAGCATAAACTCATGAAGGGAAACGCCTGTTTCTTTTTTCTAGTTCTTTTTCTTGTTGACTTCAAACCACCTGGGTTTAAATCTTACAATTTACTAGCTGTGCGACTTTGGGAAAATTGCTTAATTTTTCTATGCCTTGGTTTCCTAATCTTCAGTTGGGGATAATAATAGTACCCACCTCATAGGGTTGTTGTGGGGATTAAATGAGACATGATATAGAAAGTGCTTAGAATGGTGCCTGGCACATGGTTGTAGTTGTGGTATGGGTGTTGTTTTGGCCTCACAGTAATACTTGGAACTTTGTAAATTTATCCTTATTCTATAATTCACATTAATTTTTAAAAGTTCACATTATTTAAAAATGATTTGTAATAAATACATATTTTTAAAATATGTTTTTATTGATTTTTTTTTAGAGAGAGGGAGGGAGAGGGAGAGAGAATGAAACATCCATAAGAGAGAAACATTGATGAGCTGCCTCCGGCATGCCCTCTACCTGGGCAGGGAATTGAACTGGCAACCTTTTGGTGCATGGGATGACATTCAACCAAGTGAGCCACACTGGGCTAACATCTGGAGTTTTGTGTGGAAAATGCAGTTTCAAACTAATTGAATTGAAATGATGGGTACTAATTAACCCATTTATTAAAATGAGTTTTGTCTTTTCCTCAGCATAAAAGTTTCCTTCACTAGATTCAGTTCATTCTTTTAATGGATAAATCACAATTTTCAGAAAGCTCCTATTATATTACAGTCATACTATTTGAAGTACATCTGTCAGTCTGTAATCAAGTATTTATTCAACACTTGGCATCCGGGCAGTCTTAGAAGCAATGTGGTGGTGGGGGGAGAAGCAAAACGGAGAGGTGAGACATGGTATGAGTATATAAGGAGTTTAACATCCAGTTGAGGAGCCAAAGCTAATACACAGGAAACAATTTGAGAACAAATAAGCACTGTGTTATATGGTACTGTCTATAAGTGAAACGGGAACTAGAGGGAAAATATCTGAAAAGACTTCAGAGAAGAGATGGGGCTTGAAATGATCTTACACGGTCAAAATTTAGATGATAGAAGGAGAGACATGGGGCATTTGTGTGGCCAGGGAAAGCTAGACAAGATCTGTCCAAGTGGGAATCAGATCAGTCCTTATTGCATACTAAATTATTTCCTGGCACAGATCAAAATATTGTGCTAATAGGATATGGAAAAGATAAGTTTTTAAGTTTTAAAATTTAATTTCTAAAATTATATTATCCTATCTAATAAAAGCGTAATATGCAAAGTAACCATCACTCTGTCACAAATATGGTGGCGCCCATAGCCACAAGATGGCGGCGCCTAGTTCCCTCAGCCCTGCCGGAGTCCGCCAGTCCTGTGAGGATGGCTGCTGAGAGCAGGCAGCATGAGTGGCCTGGTTGAATGCTTGCTTCGTCGCTACGGTGATGAGGCAAGCATCTCGCCCAGGCCGCGGAGGGCCTCTGAGCCGCGGAGAGCCTCTGGGCAGTGGGCGTGGAGCAGCCAGGCCCTGTAGAGAGCAGAGAACCACGGGGAGGTTCATCAAATCAAGCCATCAGGGCTCCCGTATTGGAGAGGGTGCAGGTCGGGCTGAGGGACCCCCCCCCCCCCTGCACAAATTTTGTGCACCGGGCCTCTAGTGTTTAATAAGGAAATATGGAGTATGAAGAGAGCACAAAGAAAAATGCTAACCTAGATGCCTAATATTTAGGTTTATGACATGCATAGCAATTATGTGTGCATATAGATATGCTATGTCTGTCTGTCTGTCTGTCTGTCTATCTATCTATCTATCTATCTATCTAAAAGCTTAAGCGACTGAACAACCAAATGACCTGACCAGTCGACCAGTCACTGTGACATGCACTAACCACCAGGGGGAAGATGCTCAGTGCAGGAGCTGCCCCCTGATGGTCAGTGTGCTCCCACAGCGGGAGTGCCACTCAGCTGATCAACCGTCCAGGTGGCCCACCAGCCCTGCGGCAGCCACTCACTCCCTCAGTAGTCCTTCAGGTCCAATCTCCGGAGAATGGGCCAGGCACTGATGGACTGGCACCGCTGGCACGATCCCAACCGTGATGCTGGCCTCCTGGAAGTCGGCCTCGGGCACCGTGGCCACTTCCCCTCCCTAGATGCTCTGCAAGGAAGAAATGAT